TCAATGAACAAGAATTCTTTGCAATCATGTCCGATGACGTTATAATCATCATCTTCTTCTTCTTCTTTCCATCCACCCCTCCATCTACCCTAATTTATACTTCTTATATCTAGCTCTTTTTTTTGGATGGATGGATTTGAAATATATATGTATGAGACAGAGAGAAAACATGAAAAAATAGTAAAACATATCGAATGATGTTCCTGTTTATTTTTTTTGTTTTTCCTTTGGCTCACTAATCCATCTTTGTTTCTTCCCTCAAGTTGTTGAAATACTCCATGAATATATGCTCAAGCAAACATGTGTTTTATGTATGTACATACAGACCAAATCCATCCAAATTTGAACCAGATGCGTGTGTGTGTATCATAGGAATATTGGACGCGTGTTTTTTCAGGCAAGAACAAATGGTCAAGAATGACCGAACCTTGAATCACACAAGTACGGAGAGCGGAGAGTTTGGAGGAAGCGTTGCATACATATGAAGTTGATCAAGGGATCACCCCCTCTATGTAAACTACCTTCTCAGTATGGCCAGCCTCTTTGTTGACCTGGGTTCCTCATGTCTGACTGCATCTCTTGGATCCACATATGCAGAAGACTCAAATCAATCTGACCATCAGGTCCATGTGATCGAAGCTATCTATAATATTCCCTCTTGGGGGGTCTCATCTGCTGTTTATATCTTTTTGAGTGTCTACATAGCTGTATGAATCCATCATTATAACACTGGAACTTGGATATCAAGCTTGTGTAAAGCTCAGTAAGACAATATATTACATCAACTTACTCTTCTTTCTTTGAGTCGATTAATTGATTGATAGAAAAAAAAAACAAGCATTAAAGAGTGAACAATTAGACTGAAAGATGTCTCGAATTGTTGGATGATATTCATATTTCACAAGAAAAACAAAAAAAACGACAAAATTAAGGAGATTGTATATCGAAAATCGCGAGAATACATGTTTAGAAGGATGGCCATGTTGGTTCGTTGGTTTCAGTCGGGTTAAACAGCTACTTCCTCATCCTCGTCTTCATCACCACCTTCCAAGTTGATCGTGTCTATAAATTTCACAGCCCAAACAAGCATGATCCCAAGGAATCCAAAAGAAGTAAGCCAAAATAACATAGCAATGTAATGAAGGTTTGTCCATCAACATGAAGGTTACTCAGCAACTGAAGACGAAAAGAATCAACTTAACTGCCGAATTTCGAGTATAACGTTTTCTTGAGCTCGCTCATTTGAGTGTTCAGATCAGTCAGATCTGAGTTCAACTTGCTGATCATCTCCCGCGATCGGTCCAGACTTTCTGGTAGCTTGGTTTCTTGGAATGTCGACCTCTTGATGTGTATATATGAACTATCTAATTTATACCTTTTTTTTTAAAAATAAGGCAAAACCAAACCCCCCCCCCCCAAAAAAAAAAAAAAAAAAATACATCATTTGATTTGATTAGTTCGGGCAAAACATATTCGGACTGGGAAAGAAGGGAGGGAAGCAGAAAGAACAGACAAGATTAAATCGTTATCTTCCGTCGTCTTCAGACCAGCCTCATCATCCAGATTTTCGTTATTATTAGACTGATCGATGTCATCGAAACTAGACAACAAGAGTTCGTTTTCGAGCTCGATCAAGTCGTCCAACTCCACGGATTTAGATTTGATAAGTTTCTTCAGCTTGATCTTCTTGAGGTTCAAGTTCGAGAACTGGTTGATCATCTTTTGGTCTTTGAAATTCACTTCGATCTCCTCCATTCCTGCTGGCTCATGCTCATCGTTACGATTGATCTTGCTTGAGGAATCCTTCCCACTGGTCGCTCTGATCGGTTCTAGCTATTGGTTTTTTTTTGAAAAAAAAAAAAATGAATCAGATGAGGTCACTTTCGGGTCAGTGGATTAGCAGGAATGGAGATCTTCAGCCGACTCACCATCTCCATTCTGTGCCGATTTCTCGTCGGTTTCGGACTGATTAAGTTTTTATCAGTGTCTTTATCTGCTTGACCGTCTTGCCTCGAGTTTGAGGGAAGTGAACCGAGTGGTGATCGAAATCCATCTTCGGACTCCGTCCCCGACCAACTGGGCACCCGATCAGGACCTGGATATTGCGAACCCCCCGAACATAAATATCTCGCACATAAATAATTTCCTCGCCTTTCCTCACCCTTCTCCGCGATCTCTCTCGGCTCCGATCAACATCCCACATTCATTATCGATTGTCGAGAACTAAACATTGCGAAAGACATGATCCAAGATTTTGCGAGAAAAATGTGCCATCATGGGGGACTCTACTCGAAACAATAGCTTACCTGTATTTATCCTCGGTTGCGGAGTATGACAACACAGCCCGTTTAGCATAGTCGTTATTGCGCGGCACTTGTATCTTCTCGAGCACTCTCGTAGGTCATGCCGAGGTCGCTAGTTCAAATCTGGCAACGGGCATTTTTAACGTCTTCAGATGCCCATCTGGAACTTACCGCCATTGGTTCCTCACATTGCAACCTGCCCCTGATTATAAAGCTGATCCCTTTTGCTTCTGTTTTCATGTTCATCCGCATCTATTTGAACTCCTAGAGTTGCATCCATATGTGAACACTGGTACTTGACATAAACAGTGTTGCAATTTTTACCCAGACCTATGTCAGTGATCAGCTGAGAAAATCAAATTCTCAATGGTGAAGTTTATTGATATTGGAACTCCAACGAAATGGCCAACTCTGAAGACAAACATCAAGAGATAGTGAAAGACTTCCCATGGGTTTTACAGGCCCTGTAAAGCTAGATTTACAGGCTATAGAGCTATTTTTTATGCTGGAAAAGCGGTTTGGCGGCCTGTAAAAATAGCTTTACAGGGGGCTGTAAAATTGATGGGAAGTCCTCCAGTAATAGGTAGAAAAACCCTGAGGTTTTAAATTTGGGCAGATGGGGGGGGGGGGGATTACACTGCCAAAAATTGTCAGTGGGCTCCAAACAACTATGTATACAAGTTACCGACCTTGTAAAACAAGCAACAACACTAGTTGTAAT